TGAGCCACAATCCCAGCCCTTTTTTTAAATTTTATTTTGAGACAGGATCTTGCTAAGTTGCCCAGGGTGGCCTTGAACTTGTGAACCTCCTGCCTTGGCCTCCCAAGTCTCTGAGATCATACCACCCAGCAATATATTATTCTTTTCTCTCATTCTAATTAACATTTTCACTAAGTGAATCTTTCCCTGTGATTGCACAGTGCCCTACCTTGCTCTAGGCACTGAGAAACAGACGTGGAGAAAGGAGCCAAAAATCCTCATAACTTGGGCCACAAAAGAGGCAATCGTGGACTGCAATGTGTTGCATAGAGACTCCTGTATGAGACGAGAACGTGGGGCCACTCTGAGGAGGTGACCACAGGACTGTGAGCTCAGTGAGAAGGCCGGCCCAGGTAAGTGTTAGGCAGAGTGATCAGCAGGTGCCAGGGTGTGGCAGACAGAAAGGCCTGGTGTGGGGGACCAAAAGGGACCCAAAGGTCTAGGTGGCCTTGGTTCAGGGAAGCAGGGATAATATAAGAGGAGAGGGAAAGCTGGGTGTGGTAGCACAAGCCTGTAATCCTAGCAACTTGGGAGGCTGAGGCAGGAGGATCACAAGTTGGAGGTCACCCTGGGCAATTTAGTAGGATTCTATCTCAAAAAATCACAAGGGCTGGAATGGGCGGGGGTTGTAACTTAGTGGCAGAGCACTTGCCTGGCACATGTGAGGCACTGGGTTTTAATTTCAGCACCACACAAAAATWAAAAAATAAAATAAAATAAAGGCATGCTGTCCATCTACAATTTTTTTTTTTAAAGGTCAGGGGCGGTAACTCACTGGTAAAGTGCCCAGGTTTGGTCCCCAGGGAAAGAAAGAAGAAAGGAAGAAACAAAAGCAGAAACCCAGCTCTGTCCTTCAAGAGCTTTACTTTAAAAAACAAAAGTTCATTTTTCAGTGGCAGTTGAACACACATCTTTATTTTTACTTATTTATTTTTATGTGGTGCTGAGGATGGAACCCGGCGCCTTGCACGTGCTAGATGGCGCTCTACCACTGAGCCACAACCCCAGCCCCAAGAGCTTTACTTTTCTATTCTTTTTTTTTTTTTTCTTTTTTTCCCTGTGCTGGTGGCCAAACCTCGGCCCTTGCTCACGCCAGGCGAGTCCCCRGCCACTGGCACCCCAGCCCTGTTGGCTCTTTTTCAGTGTGGGGCTGAAATGTATCACGGATGTCGACGCGGAGCTCAGATCCCACGGTCAGGCTCCTGAACAGTGAAGGTGTGGCTCTGGCCATTCCTTGTGGAGAGGAGAGGCCCAGGTGTGGGTGCCTGTCCTGAGCGGTGCTGCTCCTWCAGAAAGTGTGAGACCCCAGCATGTCTGGAAAGGCTGAGCGGTGAGTGCAGAGGGGCCCTGTGCCACGGGTGGCTTCAGTGAACAGGGTGGGTCTCCAGGGTGGCTCTCGCAGCGCCCTCTGTCCTTGCAGGCTGGGGTTCCTTGTGTCTCTGGTCCTGGCAGGAAAGCCCAGCACAGACTCGCCACCCGTCCAAGGTGAGCCTGACGTATTCCTTGTTCACCACAGTCGTGCAGAGAAAGGGTTTATTCATCTGGGAAAATGCCCCTGGGCCTGACCCACAGTGTCGTGTTCAATGTGTCGGCGGCGCCCAGACACACAGAGCTGTCTTGGATGCCTTTGGGTCCCCGCAGCAGGAACCATGCCGAAGCTGCTGCCTACCTCCCTCTCTGCACAGACAGGCAGCACCTCCTGTGACCCAGCCCAGCTCTGGCAGCAGCCTGGCAGGCCCCACCTTCTGAACGTCTCCCCAGCCAAGGTGGCACCCCAGCCCCACGGGTCCCCCAGCCTCCTCTACTGCCCAGGCTCCTTCATGGAGAGGGTGGTCCAAAGCCCACCCAGGAGGCCTGAGGACCAGGCTGCCCTCCCAGGCTCACAGCTACCCCGGGTGTGTGTTCTCCCATGCCCAGCCTTGGGGCTCTGCAAACCTCCTGTGCTGTCTCCTTTGGCTGCTGGGACTCCATGGATTTCTGCAGGAAACCCTGTAGGGTGGCCCACGGAGGAGACCTGAGGAAGTGGACTTTGGTGACGAAAGGCCCACCTGGGTCAGGGCAAGGCCTCAGTGTGCTTTGGCCGGACTTAGCAGGGCTACATCTGCCAGGGCAACACGAGCAGCTGTGGTCCTACTCAGTGCTTCCCAGAGTCAGGGTTGCCTTGAATGGTCGGCAGAGTTAGGCTCCAAGAAGGTCAGGGTCCACATGGCTGTCCCCTCTTTTGGAATGGAGCTGTAGGTTCCTGATGTGTGTGGTTGGGAGCCAGATACAGAGCTCAGGCTGAGCCTTCTCAGGGCCTCTCTAGAGCTTAGGATAGAACCCGCCCGGCAGGAAGTAGGAGCACTGACACCTGGATTCAYGTAGACGGCTTTGCTCAGGAATTCAGCCATGAGGCCCAAGGTCAGGGTTGCTACCACCAACCGTGGCACCAGCAAGACCCCTCCCTCGGGCTGGGTCRTGGTTCAGTGGCAGAAGGCTTCCATCCTCAGCACCACATAAAACCCAACAAACAAACAAAAACTCTCCTCCCTAGGCAAGTGCAGTGGCCCACACCTGTAATCCCAGCAGCTCGGGAGGCTGAGGCCGGAGGATCACGCATTCAAAGCCAGCCTCAGCAACTKAGGCCCTATCTATAAATAAAACAAAAAACAGGCTGGAGTGTGGCTTGGTGCTCAAGTCCAAGTTCAGTCCCCAGGGCCAAAATAGAAATAAAAAATCTCTCTTCTCTGCCTATGTCCCAACCATCCTGCTTCTGTGGTTAACGTAAGTGACTGCTGGCCCACACACTAAGCAATGAAGACCCAAAGCTGTTCACACATGTCCTTTGCACCCAGAGAGCGTATAAGACACAAAGCCTGTTGGAGGACCAGGAGCATCTCCCAACTGAAGCTGTCCTTGTGTCCAAGATAGTCAGGGGTGGAAACAGCCGGAACAGAAGATGCACGCACGTATTTGCTCTTGGAAGTGAAGCAAGGTGGGGAGGGGGCGTCTTCACCCTCACAGTTTTGTACCTTTCAGATTTTTAGCTCTATGACTGAGTGACATCGTGATAAATAAAAATGCAGAAACTTCTAAGAAAATGTTAGCTGGGTAGGGAACGGTACTTCTGCAGCGGTATGTTTTCAAACTAGACAAAGCTGGCCTTGCACAACACTGAAGGTGCAGATGCCATCGTCACAGTGAAAAAGCTCATGCTATTTATTTATTTTTGTACTGGGGATTGAACCCAGGAACACTGTATCACTGAGCTGCTACCCCCGCCCTAGTCCTTTTATTTTGAGACAGGGTTTTTTAAGTTGCCCAAGCGGGCCTCAAACTTGGGATCCTCTTGCCTCAGCCTCCCAAGTCACTGGACTACAGGCACGTGCCCCTGTGCCTGGCTGATGTTATTTTCTTACTGTGTGAGGAGCCACTCTGAATGAGCCACACCTTCCAGTCCTGGAGCGAGAAGCTCTGTCCAGTCACTACATTTGTGGTGACTTGGGCGTTGTCTCAGCCCCCAACCCGGGTGAAGGCACGTCTTCAGGTGTAGGTGTCATCCTCAGGGTCGAGTTACACTCACCTGGTAACCCTGTCCTTTCTGACCTTTTTTGGATGAAACTTTCTAAGAACAAGAGTCCCCCCAATAAACGCTCACTTCCGAACGGGCTCGCTCTCTCTCCGCCAGCCTCTCGGGACTTTCTCTTTTCTCCCTCTTGGGGAGCCTGAGGCCGAGAGTGGAGAAGCCGTCCTGAAGCTTGTGAAAAGGTAAAGTGTGTCTGTGTTTTGTTTAGTGTCCCTGCAGATTCACAGAGTGACCTTAAGGTCAGCTGCCCGCACGGGCCAGGGGTGACATTACTGGACTTTATTCCCATTAAAAAAAAATATGGAAAACCTGTGAGCCGTCATTGCCAATGCCAGAAAGTCGGGATTTGCTGAATGAACAGCGCCTCCTCAGGGCTGGAACGAGACTGAGGTGGAGTGGGGGCCACTGAGCACGCAGGAAGGGGTCAGTGTCGTGACCCCCAAGCCCTTCCCAGCCCCTTGGGCCCTTGAGGCGCGAGTTGAGTAGAGCCACCCTTCAAATAACCAGGTCGAAGCGTGAGCTTCTTTCATTTTCTTTTTTTTTTCAATATTTAAAAAAATATGTTACAAAACAATATCATTCATCATATATTTCTTGCTTATTTTCCTTCTTAAAAATATTAAAGTCATAAAAAAGTCATTTTATAAAATAATACAAAAGGACATGATCAGCTGGGGTGGCCGGACGCTGTCTGGGCTCCTGGGTGAGGGATCCAGTGCTTCGCTTCTGGCTCCCCTCCCCACCACGGGCTGGGGGCTGGGGGCGGGGGCGGGGGCTGGGGCTGGGGCTGGGAGGAGGCCAGTGGGTGTGGGAAAGGTCTCCAGGCTGCCCTCTGGATGGGCTTCCTGAGGGCAAAGGGAGAGGAGCTAGGCGCAGGGCATCCACACCCAAGTGGGTGTGGCTGAGTCCTGGCTGGTCCTGCCAGTCACCAAGAGGTGGCCCTGGGCAGGGCTGGCCCGGCCCTGGGTGCTGGCTGCTTCTCCAGGAGGCTCCCCTAGCTTCCACTGCTCAGCATCCCCAGCAGCTTGCTGGGCTCCAGTCCCTGCTGCTGGGCCACGGTCTGCACATCGAAGCCCATATGCATGAGGAACTGGGCCACGTTCATCTCCTGCCCCGTGAACTGGTCCCGGATGGTGGGACATGAGGGGTTGCAGTGAGGCCAAGGGCAGCTGTCCACGAGGTGGACGGGGCAGCCTTTCAGGGCGGCTTTGCTGGCCTTGTGGCTGTCGTGGAGGCTTCTGTCCCAGCAGTGCAGTGCCCGAGGCAGTGAGGTCCCCTTCACCTGGACATCTGTCCAGTGACTGCAGACAGAAATCCGGGTGGGAGTCACGGAGGAGGGGCCATCACTGTGGCGGGGCCTGTGTGATCCTGGCCTCACAGCCAGCCACTCAGTGAACGTCTCTGACGACCCCCAGAGGCCCTTTCGTCAGTAGAGGCAGGGGTGGGGGGCTTGAGGGGGGACAAGTGCAGGCCGGGTGGGAGCCTGAGGTGTTTGAAGTGAGTACTGCAGACCAAGGGGCCCGGGGCCCAGGGACACTGACCTGCGGATGATGATCTCGTGAGAGAGGCAGGCAGGAGCAAAGCTGGCCCTGGGGGAGGAGACAGCGGCCTGAGCCCTGGGGCCCCCAGCCCCCCCACCCTGTGCCGCCAGCCCCCGTGCTCCACCCTGCTTCCCTGCACCCCATCTTCTGGCTGGGGACCAGTCCTCCTGTCTGTGGCCAGGCAGCTGTTCCCCTGCCCGGGTCTGGTCCCCACCTGCCAGCACACCCTGCTGACCCTGACCTCTGCCGACAAATCCTGCTCGGAGTCTGCCTCCCCCTCTGGGGCCTGCCAGGCAGCAGCAGGCTGTCCCTGACGGATGACTCTCCTGCCACTTTAGATCTGCTTTTGAATCGGGTGGCTTACTGAGGATTGGGGGGGGCTGCCGAGCGCGAGCGGGTCCCCAGCATACTCACGGCACGTCCTGGAGTGTGCTGCGCAGCTCGCGGCCCAGGTTCTGGATGTACAGCCACTGCCCCTCCTGCACTGGCTGCCCCGTGAGGTGCACGTTGTCCACGGTCAGCTGGGCCTCGTCAAACAGCCACTGCACCACGAACACTGGGCCTGGGAGGGCACCTGGCTCAGAGGGCTGGCCTGGTGCTGAGGTCCTGGCCAGTTCTCTGGCAGCCTCAGAGGCCAGCTGGCCGGCCAGGTTCTCCCTCCAGTGTGTCCCTCCTTTTTCCTTTTTTACAGAACCCAGAGCCTCTACTACTGAATGACACCACACTCCTTTCCTTCTTTAAAGTCTGCCCTTGCTGCTGGGCATGGTGGTGCCCACCTGTGATCCCAGGGACTCAGGAGACTGATGCGGAAGGATTGCAAGTTCAAGACCAGCCTCAGCAACTTAGAAAGGTGCTAAGGAGCTTAGCAAGACCCTGTCTCCAAAATAAACAAAAAGGGCTAGGACAGTAACTCAGTGGTAAAGCATCCCTGGGGGGTTGATCCCGGATGGAAGGAAGGAAGGAAGGAAGGAAGGAAGGAAGGAAGGAAGGAAGGAAGGAAGGAAGGAAGGAAGAAATTGCTCTTGGCCTGAGTCTCAGGGACTCTAATTTGACCAAAATTTGGTGAATTAGTCTTTTGCATGGGACCCCAGGGGTCCTCAGAGTGTGGGGCCTCCCTGAGGCCATGCCACCCGGGGGACAGCGGAGGGATTCAGTTCTAAAGCTTATTCCCAAGCAGGGGTGTAGACAGGGTTACCAACCATCCTGGTTTGCCTGGGGCTGAGGATTTCCGTGCTAAAACCAGGAGAGCTGCAGACAAACAGGAGTGACTGATGGCCTGGCATGGATTTGACCTGCGTGGGCCAGGACAGGGGTCTCTCCACCCAGCAGCTCAGAGGCTGGACCAGGCTGGGTTTTACTTCCCACCGCTTCCCCCGTACCCCTTTCAGGCCAGCCACTCACAGCGCAGAGTTGGGTAAACTTTGTAGCCAAAGAAGCAGTTCCACTCCTCCCCCTCCTTGAACTGGCGCCGACAGCGCTCCGGAACCATCCCGTTCCAGTACCTGGAGCCACAGCTGTAGGTCAGGCTGCTGTGGGTCCTCTCTCCCCAGGAGCTCCTCCCTCAGAGATGCCACCCTGTCCCAAGCCCTTTGCACGGACAGGTTCCCCAGCATGGGCCCGCCCCTCCCTCCCAGGTCACCTGATCCCCCGACGGATGGCCTCTGTGGGGGCGCAGGTGATGGTGTCAATGCAGTCCGTGCGGCGGTACTGCTTGTTGTCCAGGAACCAGCCTGAGTCAGCCAGGCCCCGCACTTGGATGGCCGGGTACCCCAGGTCCTCCAGCTGCTCGGCCACCCGGTCCACATTCAACAGCACCCCAGTACCCCCGGCACTGCAGGGAAGACCAGACGTGAGGCCAGTGGCCGGGGAGTGGCACCCAACACCCAGACCAGGGCCTGCTCAGCCCCAACCTGGGCCCTGAGGAAGGACGGGGCTCTGGCTGCCTCCCAAGGATGCATCTGGACCGTGGATGCGGTGCCTGCTCACACGTAAAACCCGTGGGCCTCTTGAGGGCCCAAGGCAGGGGACTGATGGAGCCCTAGGCTGGCAGCACAGGCACTGAGCTCTTCCCTCGTCCTTCCCTCCCTCCCTCACCCTCTCTGCCTCAATTTCCTGGTCTGGAAATCAAGATAAACTACTTGGCCTCCGGCCCTTTCACCCACTCCACATACACACGGTGCTACCTGACAGGATTGAGACTGGACGGCGGCAGTGAGCCCTTCTACCTGTGAGCCCTAGCAAAGAGGCAGCTGTCTACAGCAGACCCCGACCAACTGCCTAGGTCTGCAGCCTGAGCTCCTTGGAGGCCTAACCTCCAGGACACCCCTGGTGGTCCCTGTTCTGGTTGCAGCCTCTACCCCCTCACTACCCACCCAGGCCTCGCCAGGCTGGAGCTAGCAGGGACTGGACCTTGCCCCCCACCCCAGCTCTGCCTGGGCCTCCTCCTCTCCGTCCCACCCACACTCCCATCCCATCTGGCCCCAGGGGTACCGCCCCCTCCTCACCCAGCCCTGTCCTGCCCACCTGCTCCCGGCCAGCAGCAGCACCTTGGCCCCGCTCAGCCCTTGGCCCAGGAGCTCGCGCACCACCTCCTGGATGATGAGGGCGCCCATGAAGGCATACTCGTCTGCGTGCAGGAGGGGTGGCTTCAGGCAGGGCCTGGGCAGAAAGAAAGACCTCCACCCAGGCCAGCAGGAGGAAGGTCCTGGGGTGTCCCTGGGGCGGGGGTAGACTGGAGGGAAGGGGGTCAGGTGCAAGAGGACTTCTGGGGGCCCTCCCCGGGGAACACTCAGGAGTGAGGACCAGAAGCCCACCATCCTGCCTGGTCACAAGGAAGGGACTTGGAAACCAGAGACTCACTCTTCTCAGACTTGGAAGACGCCCCACTCCAAACGTCACTGGAGCAGTAGGGGATGAAGCTGAAACAGGAACCTGTGAGTCTGCTCTGCTGCCAAGTCCCCAGGAAAGACCACCAGGACAGGACCCCCCAACAGTACCCCCCAAAGACCACACCTACCAGGAAGAACCCTTCAGGACAGGACCCTCCAGGGAAGACCCCCCCCAGGACACCCCGTGCTCTTACACCATGTTGGCATTCCACCAGTGGGGATTCTCCTCCGGCTGAGAAGACAGGATCCCGGTTCCTGGAGACAGACAGGCAGTGGAGCTTTCCTTCTTGTGGGAGGGGCTGTGCAAAGATGGAGACTGCAGGAGGGTGTGGGGGACAGGGGCTCTTGCTTGGCCCTGGTAAGGGAGGCGGGTGGTACTTCTGGCCTGAGCCAAGGGTGCCAGGGAAGTGGGGGATGGGCGGGCTTAGTTACTGCGGGAGGTCACAGAGGTCACGATGCCCCGCCAGTCTGTGACACTGGATGCAACCCTTGGCCTTCCCACTCTACACCAGGTGCTTCAAGCTTGTTGGGGGGGGAGGGCGGGGGTGACCACCATCAGCACTGGAAAGTTACTGGTAAGACAGAGTGCTTGCTGGCCTCCCAGAGCTCAGAGTGCTGCTATGGGGATGTCCCAGGTGAAGAGATCCTTTTCTGCAGGACCTCATTTTGAGAGCTTACTGCCCTGAGGCTATTCCCCATCTCCAGGCTCCCTGCTAGCAGGCCCCCCACTGCTGACCTGTCCTCGTGTGCGGCCAGTCTTTGGAGCTCATAAGGCGACGCATGGTGTCATATCTGGTGTTGCAGTTCTCCCGGTTAAAGCAGTACCAGCCGCCTGCAGACACAGTCACCAAGGTCTAGCCCCTGTATCTAGGGGACTCAAGCCCTCCCCCTCCTGGTTCCCTAGAACGCACCTTCCAGAAAGAGTAGCCACCGCCGGCTGCCCTTGGACTCCTTTAGGTAGTAACTGCAGGGAAGAACGCGTGGAGCAGGTAGTCAGCTGGGGCTTCCACCTGTCGTTCTGTGCGCACGATAGCCGCATGGGGGCGCCAGCGGCCAGACCCACGCAGAGTGCACCAGCCCCGAGAGCCACGCGGCAGTCCCGGGAGATGGCGCTCGCGGGGACGGCACCGGCTTCGAGGGCTGTGTGGTCCGTGGAAAATCCCCATGGACCGCCCGGTGCGGGACCCGTTGTAACCTCGCTGCCTGCTGGGGGGGTCGCTCTGGGGCACACAGTGGCACTGGGAGAGTGGGGAGTGCTCACGATAGAGGTCTGGGCGTGGGTGGAGGCACCGGACGCGCCAGGCTGGGGGGGGGGGGCCGCCACCGCGGCGGTGTCGCAGTTTTCTCACCAAGTCCCAGCCTAACGTCCACGCACCAAGCGCAGAGGCACTCCCAATCCCTTCCTCATCCCCAGCATCACATCTTTCGTTTGCAGGCCTGGAGTGTGACCATGCCGCACCTGGGGTTTTTCTATCCCCCTCCTACCCCCTCTAGCTAACGATGGAATTCCTGCCTGTCCAAAATCAAGTTGCTAGGGGCGCGGGTGGGGGGAGATAGCCAGTGTTGCCTCTTCTTGCTGGTGCCAGGGCTACTCTCAGGTTGTTTCCAGTCTGCCTTACTCCCCTATCCCCGCCCAAGGACAAGGGCAAAGGGGCTGTGCACTGTGGCCCAGGGGTCAGTGCTCGCGCTGGGCCGGGGACCAGGTCTTCAAATGCTGCCAATCACCCCCTCCCCCGGGAGGGAGGCACCAAGCCAGGTCCTCCGCAGGGCCAGCACCACTGGGCACCCGACGGGAGCCCTTTCCTCTGGGGGTGAGAGTTGAGAACTGCCACAGACTGTAGGGGTCCAGCACAGAGTCTCTGAGTCCTCGCAGGGGCAGGGAGGTGTAGCTGCGGGTGCCACGGGTGATGAAGCAGCCTGGAACTCGGCGGGGACGACGGGCTAGGAAGGCAGGGCGTTCGGATGAGCCTCCCGGGGTCCTGGCCGGCGCGGGCCTTACCCAGCTGGGCTGCCGTCGTTGCAGGTCACCGATGTGTTCAGCAGGAGATGCAGGCGTAGGTCCTCATTGAGCTGTTGCGCAGAGCAGGGGTACAGGGACTGGGCCAGGCTCTTGACCTGAGCCATGAAACTGTCCATGTTGCCCTCCACGGCCGTGAAGTCCAGCGGGAAGCTCTCCACTGGTTGTCCCGCGGCCAGCGCCGCCTCGGCTCCCTGCGGGGGAGGCGGCGGGGGCGGCGGCAGAGGAGGCTGCTGGCCGCGGCGCCGCCAGGTCTTCCTGCCCTCGCCGCCCCCGGCCCAGTGCAGTAGGCCCAGTAGCAGCAGCACGCACACCCTTCGGCCCATGACCACGCCACTCCGGCCCGCTGCCACCTGCAGAGAAGCGGACGGTCCTGAGGCAGCAGTGGCTTGGGGGGAGGGGGGCGCCGGGCCCAATGCGCCTGGGCCACGGGACGCCGGCCGCGTCCGCTAGCTGGTCCTCAGTCCCGCGCGCCGGGCCTGGCCGAGGCGGCGTGGGCTCTGGGCGTCGAGGCTCTGGGTTCCGGCGCCGTCGGCCTCGGCAGCTGGAGCTCCGCGCTCAGCCGGCCGCGCGCTGCTCAGGGTCTGGGTGCGCTGGCTCTGGCCCGCGCCAATAGGCAGCGGGGGCCGAGCTGGGCGTAGTTCGCGGGGGCTGCGGCGGCCCGGGTGCCCGCGCGTTAGATGTGCCGCCGCCGCCGCCGCCCGGGCTCGGTGGAGGGGGAGGGGGCCGCGCTCGCTCTTTTCTTGGCGGAGGCATCGCCTTTTCTTCCCAAACCGCAAGCCTGACGGAGGGGCCTGGACTACCCCGTCGCGGCCGCGGGAGGCGCTCCCGGCCCAGCTCCGTGGGGGGCAGCGCGGCCGGGCGGCCCCAGTGGCTCCATTCACCGCGGCCAGCCCGGCGCCGCTGCCCCCGCCCTGGGAGCGGCTGGGGGCGGGGAGGAGCGAGGCCTTTCCGCGTCGGGGGGCGCTCTCCCCGCGGCTCCGCTGCTCGGCCCGACGGCCTGGGGCGCGCACCTGGAGCCGCAGTGCTCCTCCGCCCCCGTCCAGCCCCAGAGCAGCCGCGGGCGACCCGCACCGTGGCCCTAACACCCGTATCCCGAACGGCCCCGGGCCCTGCGCTCACCGCGGCCAGCGCGGGCGGCCCCGCGGCCCCGGCTYCTCGGCGTTGCTCGCGCTGCGCGGCCCGGCTGGTGCGCCCGACTCGGCTGCGTTCCCCCTCTGGCGCTGGCGCAGAGCCGCCCGGGACTTTTATCCAGCCGGGCCCCCGGGATCAAAGCGGCGGCGGACACAGGGCTCCGCGCCGAGGGGCCGGCAGTAGCGGCGCCGGGGCCTCCCGCAGGAGCGGACAGGTGTGGCGCGAGGCCCCGCTCCCTAGGCGACCTGCGGGAGGGACCTGGCGCCCAGGCTCGGCGCCGCGGGGGAGTCTCCCTGTCCCGCGCCTGAGCGAGTGATTCTGGGCTGCTCTCTGAGGCACTGGGATCAGAGGGACCGCTATGACTTACCAAGGTCTGTCAGCGGCAGGGTCAGGTCTGGGATTGTCCCGCGAGCGTCCAGGCTGCCGCACCCCCGACAGAAGACCCCCAAGAACTTCTCCCTGACCCAGCCGCCACTGGGGGAGGGAGCCGAGGACCGGAGGAGGGGCCGGCTTGGTGACCTTTTTAGAGCATCTGCCCTGTCACCTCACTTTCTGAGCTGGCCTCCCCTCCACGTCCCAGGGCTCAGGTCGCTGAGGACAGAATGAAATTCCTGTGCTGTCAGAAATCAAATTGGGGGAAGGGAGCGGGTGTTTGCTCAGGAGCCTTTCTACTCCAGTGGTGGTGGGTGGGGGGTGGGTAAAAGAAAGAGAAGGCATGTATACACACACACACACACACACACACACACACACTCACACACACACACACACTCTCACACACACCCATCTCCACAGTGCCATTCATGCACAGCACCCTGCCACCTGCAGCCTAGGGATCTTTCCCTAGAGACAGGACATAGGCTTGCCTTTTGGGACCAGGATCCAGACCCAGGGAGGGCTTTTGGGTCCCACCTCTTTATTCAGTGCAGTGGGAGCCTGCCTCACCTGGAAGGCCACTGCGGCCCTCTGAGGCAAACACCAGGCTGCTAGGATGAGACAGTAGCTAGGACGCTGCCTGAGCTGCAGCGCTCTTTGGACACAGGTGCTGTCCTGCTGGTCTCTGAGCTCGTGATGAGCTATAGGAAGAAAGCCCAAGCACACCTGCACGCTCAGCTACCCTAGCAAAATACGGCCAGAGGCCAAAGGATCTCTTGAGAATTGTGGAGCTGGGCACCTGAGGGGTGTAAGTTGCCCCAGTGTAAACTGCAAGTCCCAACATCAGTCCAAGAGGTCCCCAGCTGACCTTGGGACATCAGTGAAACTGAGGAACACACAGGTTCACTCTCAGGCATCTGAGGGCAGGTGCACACTCATGGCAACTGAGTTCAGAGAAGGTAACAGAAGTGCTGAAGGCAGCGCTTAGTTCTGTTCATTTAGAAACCCACACTTGCTGTACTTCCATTGTTGGGTCAGTTTAAAGGTCATGTTTGGTACTGGCCAGGGGCAGTAGCTTCACCATGCTGATGTTTCATCCTGGGCACCCGCCAGCAGTGTAGGCTGACTAAGGGTGGGACTTCAGCATTGGGTAAGAAGCTGCCCCAGGAGCTCTCTACTTTAGGAGACTGTATTCCAAATCCCAGCAGAGAAATGCTAAGTTCCAGCTGGGTGGCATGGCTGTGCAGGTTGTGCTGCCCACCGCTCTGGCCCTGAGCCATTTCCAGACAAGGAGATCCTGGGCAAGGCTTGTGACCCCTCGCTGTGCCTCCATTTCCTCTTCTTCAAAGAAGGGCAACAGCAATACCTCTGTCAGAGGACTGTTGTGGGATTAAGGGAGCCTGTGCATGAAAGTGCACAGCAGGTCCGTGGTAATGATTGCCAAGGAAATCCCAGGATGAGCGCAGAACATGCATATTATGTTCTCTGGCATTTGCTGTGACGCGATTTATCCTGCACATTGAACCACAATGAGTTCATGTTTTGGTTTACTCAACACTAGTAGCAGAAGCAAAGCGGGACTCAAACCCAACGTTTCCTGGAACTTCTCTGCCTTCTCTCTGTCTTTCCCATCCCCTCTCCTCTCAGGCCCCTGTCATCTGGTCTGATAACTGACAAGACTGCAACCGTATGGCCACAGACAGCACCCTGAGACTGCTCAAACCCCTACCACCTGTCGGAAGTTCCCCAGAGGGCAGATCTTTAAAGCCATGGATGCTAGGTCTCTGCATTCAGGCCACCTGCAACTGAGACCAGACGCTGTGTCCCTGACAAGTGTACCGAAGCTCAGGTTAGATACCATCACATACCCCTTGGATAGCTTTGAACGAAAATAACAAGTGTTGGTGAGGATATGAAAAAACTGGAATCCTTGTGCATTGCTGGTGGGTGTGTAGGATGGTGCAACTGCCCTGGATGGTGGCTCCTCAGGAAGTCAAACATAATGTTGTCATATGACTGAGCTATTTCACTCCATAGATCCAAAAGAACTGAGAACAGATGTTCAGACAAAGGCTTGTGAAAGAGTTCGCAGCAGCACCATTTACAGTAGCTAACAACTCAAAACAACTCAAAAGTCCAACAGATGAATGGATAAACAAAACACAGTCTGTCTTTACAATGAGATATATTTTGCATGCTACAATGTGGATAAATCTTGAAAATACTATGCTGAATGAAATAGCCCAGACACAAAGGGGCACATGCTGTGGTTCCATTGATACGAAATATCCAGAATAGGCAAATCCACAGAGACAGAAAGCACAGAGGTGGCTGCCAGGGGACAGGGAGGAGTAGGGAGTAGCTGCTGATGGGCGTGGGTTTATCTTTGGGGTGATGAAAATATTCTTAAAATCAACTGTGGGGATGATAGAACAACAATGTGAACATACTAAGCACCATGGAATTTAAAAGTACATTTTAGTTTTTAATATTTTTTATCTTATTTTTATGTGGCGCTGAGGATTGAGCCTCCAGTGCCCCACCACTGAGCCACAAACCCAGCCCTTTAAAGTACATTTTAAAGTGGTTAATTCTATGTTCTATGAATTTTACCTTTAAAAAATGCCACCAGCCAGGTGTGGTGACTCATGCCTGTTATCCCAGGTGCTTGGGAGCCTGAGACAAGAGGATCATAAGTTCAAGGCTCGCCTCAGAAACTAAGCAAGGCTCTCTAAGCCACTTAGTGAGAACCTGTTTCAAAATAAAAGATAAATTTAAAAAGGCTGGAGATGTGGCTCCGTGGTAGAGCACCCTGGGTTCAGTCCCCGGTACCAAAAAACCTCAACCAACCAACCATCCAAACAAAACTCACCAATGAGTCAGACCGCTGATGGTCATCAGGCTGGGCAGAGAACACCAGAGGACAGCTGGAGCGAGGCCTGAGGCCCGGCGGGTGGAGGGACTGAGGATGGGTAGGCTGCTCTTCCTGTCACTGCTCCCTGCACAGCTGGGCATGGAGAGGGTGACACAGGGCCTGCCTTCTGTGTTTGGACCCAGGCTCTACTGCTGGCCTGGGACTGGGGCTCTGAAGTTCCTGGTCCGTGAAGGGGACATAGTGAGAGTACCTGCCCCACAGGGTCATCATGAGCATCAAGTGAGGCAGGCTGTGTGGGAGCTCTGTCTGCTGTTCYAGGCAAGGAACAGGTGACAGGTGACAGGAATGACTCCTAGGCTCCACGGTGGGTGCTGACGGTCCCTCGGGGACCAAGGTGTGCGGGGTCCCAGGCACAGGAGGCTGTGGACTACTTAGAAGGGAAGACACTGGGCATGGTGTGTGCCCGTATCTGCCCCTCCCTGGCTGCCCACTGCATGTCAGAGCCAGGTTCTACAGGGCTCCTGCCCCTGGGCTTCCCCAGCTCCCATTCAGGCCAATGGCAGATGCTTCTGTCTGTGCATAGATCTTTTGCCCACTTAGCTGCAAGGGAGCTGGGGAAAAGGGGATCCTCCAAGGGGGCTCACCCCTTCTGAGCAGAACCCCGAGAATAGGGTGGGCCGTGGGTTTGGTTCACTGCCGTCCCCTTTGGGAGGAGGGGACCCAGGGATGCACAGATGAGCACAAAATTAACTGACAAGAGTCATGGGCCTGTCTCAGAAGGTAGAAGCCTAATTCCCAGGAAGAGAGAGTCAAGTTGGAAAATTGTGGGAATAAGAGGTAGGGTCCGTGTTGGGGTGACTGCAGGCTGGGCTGACCAACAGCGGGGCTGGGGAAAGAGTGCAGGTATAATAGAGGGCAGGTAGCAGAGCATGGGCTTCCACCTGAGGCCCTAACAGATCAGTGACCTCACCAGTTGCTAGGTCTCCAGGGTTTAGGATGTCCAGTCTCGCTGGACCTAGTTTCCATGCCCAGATGTGGGATGCTGCATGTCTTGCCCCGTCAACAGCACTAAGGTGGCTCCATGGTCCAGCAGCTGCCTATCATCTGGGGCCCAGCTTTTCTGGGCTTGCCCTAGTCACTCTGCATTTTGTGGCCAGCTGGGCAGCTCTGTACCCGATCTGCTGGCCTCTGAGGCCTGTGTAGGCAGGGAAACTGAGAAGGTCACCCCTCACCCTGTAGCCTGCTTCAAGAGGATGCCCTGGTCCCGTGAACTGAGAGCCTACCTCCAGCTCTGAGCCTGGGGACCACAGATTAAGCCCCCCTTTCGATACTCCCTCCCATTCTTTGGCAGGATTCTCAAACCCTTGTCCCGAGGAAAGCCCCTTACCAAGAGGTGTCTGGCAGGGATGGTATTGAGGCTGGGGGTCACCATGGTTCTCTCAGCTCAGGCCTGGTAGGGGAGAGACAGGCAGGGCCACAGGTCAGGCCCAGTTTCTCCAAAGCCCCCAGCCTGGCTCTTAGGAACCAGGCCTGATGTGCGCAGTCTGTGGAGATCTGGCACGTAGACCTTACCCTTGTCCTAGGACTGAAACACTGCACTATCATCCGAGTCCCTCCACTGGGGGAATGGAGCTCTGGTGACAGTCGCTGTCCCTGTACTCCACTGTGGCCCCGACACCCCGGGGGTGTTTCTACTGCAGTCTGGACCTGTCAGTCTCCGACCCTGCTGGTACTTTGGTAGGATGGATCCCCTTCTTGGCACCCCAGCAGCTGAGCCCTGCCCTAGTCACTTCCCTGTGTGGCCCTGCCTGGAGGTGGTCCAGCTGGAGGACCCTGCGGGGTGCTGGCCTTGTTGATGTGGGCTAGCACACTCCAAAGCTGGGGCAGAAGGTGTGGCATGGGTGAGCCTCCTAGCTCCTCGGTGGAGATGGGGCTTCTTGGGTATCTTGGGAGCATCGCCAAGGTGACCAGCAATTCCTCGTCCTTACTGGACAGACAAGGAGCCAGTGTTCAAGGAGGTCAGGGCCCTGGGTGCTGGGAGAGGGGTGGAAAGGCTGCTCCTTGCCCCTCCAGCTGTCACTGAGTCCTACAAAGCTGCAGCCTGGCCCCATCTGCCCACTGCTGGTCCCCAGGCTCCTGCTGCAACAGC